AGTCTTACGTGGGCTTCCTTTACAATAGGGAATTTTCCCCAAAAGCAACCAGTGACTGGGATAGTCCCAATGATGCAAAACATCATTGGACACATTAAGCTACTATTTGCACTAGTGCAGTTTTTCCCATGTAAAGTTGTTTCTATTTGAATATCCAAGCATAAAGACACTTATATCCAGTTGAAAAGGAAAAGCATACAAAACCAAAGACTAAAGCAACCAGACACTTCAGTATATTTCACTGGAAACTGATCATCTGGACTTTCTTTCCTGTTTTTCCAAAGTATACCATCACACATTCCAAGAGTGGCAGTGTACAAAGGCCATTCAGAGATAAACCAATTATAGCAGTTATAAGAGAAGATGATCGAGCTGAAGGGCAGAAATGCCGCTTGCTCTCAGAAGCAGCACTGGAATTGAAGTATTGAGGATGTGCTTCATTTTATGGAGTATGGTGATGACAATCCTCAGATGAAATCTTTTGTGCACCTTCCAACTAAGACAGCTTTTGAAATTATTTCCATAGTTCAACATATGGCATACCCATGTCTCATCAGCAGAAATATACAGAAGCCATTTAAGAACGTAATTTTCATTTAGCCCCCACGTAAAGTGTTTTAAATTATTCTAATACTGAAATGGTAGTATTTAAATACATAATAAGCTACTGCTTCAGAAGTGACTAGTGATGCTGAAAGCCTCCATTTGTGGTGACCTCATCTGACATACCACAGAAGAGCCTTATTTTCAGAGAGGACAAAGGATCAACATTTTGTGAAATGGGCTCCCTTCGAAGCATCTCACTGTTGGACATCTAAAAACAGACGTTATGTAAAATCACTAGTTGCTTTTGAAAATTTAGGCTATACATACTTAGAATGCTATCACAAATTCCAATCCTATAAGAGAAGAGAAGAACAGAGAACATCTAATGCAATTAGACAGATGTTTCTCAATCTATACACAGAAACAGAGGCACACAACTTCTATTTAATATGTAACCTAGTATTTGGCACTGTTACCCAAATCAGGTGGGGGGGGGGGAAATCAGAATACGAATTTTAAATAAGTATAAAACCATTGTAGCGAAAATAGATACTTTTCTCTATGTTTCTT